TCTCTCTCTCTCTCTCTCTCTCTCTCTCTCTCTCTCTCTCTCTCTCTTTCTCTCTCTCTGATGTTGTTTACTACAGACTAAAGAAAGAAAGGCTAAAAATCTTTATTTTCCAGCCTGGAAAAAAAAAAAACCACAACTCTTTTTTTTTTTTTTTTGTCTTTTCAAGACAGGGTTTCTCTGTGTAGCCCTAGCTGTCCTGGAACTCACTCTGTAGACCAGGCTGGCCTTGAACTCAGAAATCCACCTGCCTCTGCCTCCCAAGTGCTAGGATTAAAAGCATGTGCCACCACTGCCTGGCTAAAAACACAACTCTTAACACAGTGGTTCTTCCTAATGCTGTGACCCTTTAAAACAATTCCTCAAGTTGTGGTGACAACCCCCAGTCATAATATTATTTTTGTTGCTACTTCATAACTGTAGTTTTGCTGCTGTTATGAATCGTAATGTGAGCATATGATATGCAGGACATCTGATGTTCAACTCTTATGAAAGGGTTGTTTGACCCCTCCCCTAAATGAGGTTTCGATCCACAGATTGAGAACCTCTGCTTTAATAGACCTTACCGCTGGAGTCTCTCAGGGTGATGGTGCCTCAGAAAACACCTTGCCTTTCCTCCTCTCTACCGTTCTCTGCTGAGCTAAGTGTGTGGAAAGACTGTAGCCCACAGTGTGGGAGACATAGCCTTTCTCAAAACTCCTCCAAGCAGAGGCAGCTGTCTCTCTCACTGTGTCTTGTATTTGTGGTAGCGGCACCTATCCTTCCAGATGTTAGGCCCTGGGTTTCCTGATGCTCTAACAATCCATTTGCTCATCTTCTCATTTTCCTTGAGGTGCCAGCTTTTGATGTCTAACAATGGTGCAGGAGCAAGGAATTGCCTTAATGGCACAAAGGCACTCCGATCCCCACTGTAAAGGAAACATAATGAGCAGAGGAAGAACAAGCATACACTGAAGCATCCTGAACCATTCTTTAGAGGCCAAGGAGCCCTAAGTCCAGATAGACCTAGTCTCTCCGTAAAGAGTCCCTGGCCCTGCAAGAGGAGTGGGAATAGAGATTCTAGGCATAAAAACTGCTGTGTCCTCATCTCGTATTTGTAAGCTCTGCTTGACATCTTACCAAGGACCAGAGGCCTGGCAGTTGAAATGGTATCTGCCCTCTATATGTATGTAAAGCAAAGAAGACATCCTGTGAATGCCTAGTTTTCTGGTTCATTTTAAGACATAAAGCTATCAGGAGGAAGTTCAGCTGAAGCTGTGCCTACTAGTTCAGTTTATACGCAGACATCCTCACTCAGCCTCCTGAAGAAGTCAGAGATCATGGAAGGAGGTTGGGTGCCAGAACCCAAGTGAGGAAGCATCAAGGATACTGGAAATGACTCAAGGCTACGCCCCACCTTCAACTTGATTTGAATGTGAAATGCCTAGGAGGTAGGTGAATTAGACCTTCTACAATTAGATCATGAATTCTAATGAATGGTTTGGCGGGGAGTAGAACTATGCAAAGTGGAGAACCTGGTTCAAGGTCACTAGGGCTGTGTCTAATGAACCATCAGACTCTGGCCCATTCTTTTAGTGATCGACTACCCTCCTATCTACCATGATGTGAGCTGTGATTCTTAGGTGATATCTGTCTTAGCCAGCATCATTGATGGAAGCATTTGAAATCACTAGTAAAATCAATCCTTTTCCCTTAAGTCTTTTTTTATCAGGTATTTGGTCTACTCTGGCTTTTAAAAGACAACATTAGCCAAGGCATATTCCCCCTGTGTACTAGTGCTGCCTGTGAACAACAGTCCCCCAGTCCACCCCTCTTGTTTTTAGTACTTTACATTTCAGTTCCACACAGGAAGACAATTTGTGTGAAATAGACCAGTTAACTCTTATTAGGTGTAATAATGATCTCACTGTCTAAGCTCACAGGAATTAGAAGCTCAGCTTCCAGTAATTGGTCCATAAGAGAAGACTTGATAAGGGAGACAACAGGTTCAGGGATCCTAAACAGAGGAATTATGGGAGGAGTGGAAAATAGACATATTAGGAAAAATGTAGAAAGTAAGATGAATTAATGACTCAGACAGAAGACCTCAAGGACAGGGTGAGACTTGACACCTTGAAGTTCATCTCCTACGAGATAGAGAACTGGTCTGCTGAAAGTCACAAAGCACAAGGGAAGCTGGCACAAGAATCCAGGCCTCTCAGCT